AGGAAAAAGTATTTTTAAAATTATAATTTTGAACCTTGTTCTGATACTTAACTTAAGCTTTGTTAAAACAAATATGAATTTCAGCTGAAGCATGAATTTAATTTTTAAACTGGCTCAGATTTCAACACATATTTATTCTGGAGCTTTGCTTTTTTACCACTTTCGCCCTTCAAGTAAGGAGAATTAAAGGGGATGTCACTAAGACCTTCTTCATTAGCTGCAGGATGGTGTGTGATGCAGATTTTCCTTTTCTTCCAGGATAACAAGCTACAACTGTTGTTGACTTTTACACTGCAGTTTGCTCCAGTTTAGTAGAACTAACTTTGCTTCAAGATTTTGAGTTTTCTCCTTGCTTCCTGAAGGAATCTCCCCCTAGAGGCGTTTAATGTTTCTGAAAGGTGACACGATGGCTTTGCTTATACTTCAATGTGATCTGCGCCCCATTTGTGCCCTTGTATTTGGTGCTCTCCCTCTTTTTTAAAATACATTGTCCCCAGACTCTTGCTGTGCAAAACAATGAGGCTACTTCCTTTGTTTGTTTATTTTCTGCACAAAAATGTTTTGTGTAACTGTCTCCTTTATTGATTGTCAATAACATGAACTGGCATTCTCCCATCATTTTTCTACAGATTCTCTTTGGATTTGCATGCAGTTCTTGAACTCAGCGATTACCTGAACAATCTCTGCATGTTCACACCTTTGCAGATCTTGCTTTTATTCCTTTTAGCAGTGCGGTTTTGGGCTTAGGAATATGAGCCCACCTCAATGAGCTGGTCTGTCTACATTCTATTCTCTTTCAGGCTTTGCTGCCTTTCCGGTATCTTACTACATCTGTTCCTTATTCATTCCTGGCCCAAGCACTGAGATCTATTAAAACAGCCAATGCTAGAAATTATTCCATCAGTTCTATATTTGCCTTAGCCTTGGTTCTCTGAGCAGGCTGAAGAAATCTGTAAACAAAAATACTTTCTCATTTCTTTCTTTCACATCTATGTTATCATTGAAAGTCACTTAATAGAAATGTTGGTTTGTCCCATGGGCGTAAAATAACAGAGATCTAAACACAGACTGCTTTGCCTACGTTTGATGTTCTCCTATCAGCCCCTTGGCAGATCCAATTCAGCATTGGCATCAAAATTACCTGCCATAGCCAGGTTCTCTTTTACTCTGTTAGTTGATTATAGCTCCTTCATCCCACTTACTGCAGGGTGGGTCTTTTAGCTAATGAAATCTTTAAGTCATCTCTAGATTCCCATCCTTGACAATCCAAGCGCTGGCAACAAGACAGTTCTGAAGAGTTGTCCCTCTGCAGATGCTAACCTGGGTGTTGTGATTTAATGTCTGAGTTATCTTCTCTAGGGTGTTTTGCTCTTTCCTGCTTCATTCTCTCAGCAATGTACAGGAGCAAATCCATCATAAAACCATGTAGCATCTGTTTCTCTGTCCTCATTTCCAAAGAAAAACAACTCTAAAGGAAGTATGTGAGCCACAGAAAATTAAAAAATTGATAGCAAGAAGACATCAAAGGGAAGCCCCTGTTATTGGAAGCATCCGCTCATCCATCCATCTGATCTTATGGAGAAAAATGTCCCTATCTCATCACCTCTCCAACCATATGTACCTTCTAAGACATGTCATGGGAGGAGATCATAACTAACTGTTCACAAATGTGGTTGAGAAAGGGTCGACTAGGGAAAGGAGTCCCGTTGTTGGAGATAGGCAATGAAGCAACTAGTGGGGGAAGTAGCATAATTGTGGAAATCCCTCACCAACAAAATTAAGGGGAAGAACCTTTCATTCTTTGTTTATCAAAGGTAAGGAACAAATGGAATGAAGCAAGAATAAGAAGTTAAAGCATAGTAGCTCTTATTTGTATGGCTTCCGTATCCTCAGGCTTGACCTAGCTTACACTCGTCTGCCAGTAGCACAGCTCATCTAATTTTAAAAGATAAGGTATGCTTGAAAGGATGACTCTCTGCCCAAAGGACCTGCAGCCTGTTTTCATTAAAAGTCAGCTATAAATCTTTACAAGATTTCCATTATTCTTGAGGCAGTCTGGTCTTTACGTGACTGACAAACTGAAGGCATGATTGATTTTGGGCAGCACCTATTACATCCGGATCAAATGGTGCTGATTCTTTACCTCTATAAATCAGGATCTTGACAGCTCAGGTTCTGAAACTCAAATTTCTGAGCACTTGCTGCAGCGTAACCTTCAGTGACTCCTATCCAGAGAAAGAGCAGCATGTGCCACTCCGACTTAGCTCGGTGCACGTCTGTTGGCATGGTTAGAATGAAATTTTATTTCACTTCAGTGGATGGGCTGTATATTCAGTGCCCATCCATTGCAAAATTGCCTTTTTGCTGCACTGAGAGAAATGTAGCAATTTCTTGGAGTTATATGTAAAAATGGGACAGATCACCAGCTTGTAGAAACTGAATTACTACCTGCTTTTTAGTGAACATGACAGATTCTCTCTTACGGGTAAATCAATGATATAGTATCCAGAATGCTAAACCAGCATTATGTCCCAAATTTTCATCCAGCTATCTTGTATCTCTGAAGCATTTTTCAATGCCTTGGCAAAAACCCAGCTTTCCATTTAATCAGCCGACATTTGGGTGAATTTTGTAATTGCCAGGGGCAGCACTGGCTCTTTCCACAGTGGCTTGTTGCCCTTGTTTGTGATTCTTTAGTCAGACCAGAAGGGCAGGAAGTGACTTTGCTGGGCCTGGGTGGAGACCGTGCTTAATGGAGTCTTCAGTAGGTGTGGCTGATCTGGAGACTGGATGTGCAGGTTGGCAGCCGGGATGGTTCTGTAGCCCCCTGAGAAGCCATCAGGAAATAGGGTAGTAGTTTGAATGTTCACTGTGTCCACTTTAGGATTTAGACATTTGAGACTCAAGGGGATAATTACTCCCCTGGACTAGCTCTTTGATGGCCAGATTTGGCCTTTTTAAGAGGTTTAATGATAGGATATATTTGTGCAAGTTTTCTTCCAAGCTTTAAGTGTATGTTTCAGGCTTCGTTTACCATAACATTTCTGTCCCTCCATCTCTTGTCTTTATTTCTTAGCTAAAAAAGGTGCTAGAAGTCCATGAATTTAAAGGCAGGTGAAGGGATGGGTGGGGATAACTGGGAGAAAAGCTTAAGTCACTGAAGGTAGGGTATGATGCTGATTCAGATCCTCCTTTCTTGGGCCAGCTTATTGTTTGCAATGGGTTGGGTGGAGCCCTGAGAGGTGTGATGGTTCTGTTTGGGGCTCCTGTTGCCCAGTTACAGCTGACTTGCCCTTTAATGAAGATAGTCTTGCTACAATAGAACTTAGATTGTAAGCTCTATTTTGCTCTTGATACAAGTCTTCAGATCACAATTCAAGTCATGTCTGACTGATTTGAGATGGACTGATGAAGACTTGAGTTTCTCCTAAGAGGGCAAGTGAGGAGATGGTATTCAGGAAAACAGCGATTGTTTGGAGAGATGACAAATTCAAGCTATATTCGAGCAATATCAGTGCTGTATTTGATGCTGTCAAAGCCATTCATTGGCTCAAAATTAATGTAACAGCACTTTTTTGGATTTCAGGATAGCTTCTTCAGAGGGAAGAAAAGATGGCCATTGAGGAGAAAAACCCCTGAGATAAATTTTCTGGAATAAATACTGACTCAGAAGGTGTCAGACCCAGCTCACATGTAGGATACCCTTGTGATGATATATGATATGATATTTTATCTGTAAATAGTCTTACAACAATAAATGTATTCTTACTACTGAAGTTGAAAATAGGCTAGTTATGCATTTATGCTTTCCTCTCTCTCTTATCCTCCTGTTATTTTTACTTCTGCTAGTAAAGCCAAAGGAAAAGAATAGTAGTTAAGCATTCACTTTATGCTGATTAGTTTCTTCTTTGCTTTAATACTCAAGTTAAAAGGAAATAAATATCAATGAAACAAAACAACCGATGCAATAATTTAGACGTGTCAGACGTGCTAGAGAGAAACACGTATCCCTGGAGACGGAGAGAGAAAGGAGTCAGTGTGATCATGTAAGAAATGTTTAGCTAAAACAATGCCCAGTTTCTCTAAAATAATCAATTTCTTGTTACTTAGAAATTAACCCATTTTGTATCTCAGGGGAATTGTATTCATTTGAACTTGTTGATTAGGAAGTTTATTGCATTAGTGAATGATTCCAGTTAGTGAAGAGACAAGCAAGTGCCCGGAAACAACCCCGGAAGTCTACACTGCAGAATGCACTTTGTTCATTTATTTAATGAAACTAAATATTTTATTTAGAATGTTTCAGTAGAAATGCAACAGAAAATTGGATGTGTTATTTAAATGAAATCTGATAATGAAGCTATTAGATATGGCACTATCTCTCCTTATAAGGATGAAGTGATAAATGGGGTAGTAGGGCACATTTTCAAATCAGCAGAGTGTTAGGAGGGCTGAGGTTTGGGACTTTTCTAGCAGTAGTATCAGAGGTAATTTAAAGTCCTTACAATTTTGCAGTTCCAATTTTCAGATCTCAAGAATGACGAGTAACATGCCTCTGTAGTCCCTTGGCATGTAGTAAAGCTTTAAATAGCTATGCTTCAGATTAAGAAATCTCTGGTGTACGTTAACTTTCAGCTGACATGTAAGAAGGAAACTGTATTAATTACTGACTTCATCTGTCTTGAATATAAGCTAATAGTGATCAGATGTCAAGAATAAAGCTAGTATGGCTCATCAGGTCCAGTTTGTGTAGGATGTGCTTGCACAGTAATTTTTTATGATCTGTAGATACTTTAGATTCTGTGTTATCAAACACTTTTTTTCCCTCTCCCTCCCAATCTTCTTCCTATTAGGAGTGCCAGGAAGAGCACAGGAATCCAGAGGGATATAATCCTCATTGCTGAAAGAACAACACAGGAAATGTGTGTAACACTAACAGCTGAGAGAAACACGCTTCGTATCAGCAGCAATTAAAACTGATGGGTGGCATCTTTGGAGCCATGGGGTGCAGCAGTTCTGTACCTGACCGAAAGTCAGAGAGAGGTGAGTGCTGCTTTTGACTTCAGGGTCAGGGGTTGTTCTCCTTGTAACACCAGAAGTGGATTGCAAGGTTATGTTTACTCCTAGTCCTGTTGTCAAAATGCTTGTTCTGAGAAAATTATTTTCTAATTACTGTCTTTTTAAAGGAGTACATAGCTTTTAGATGGTGACTGAGGTCAGAAGGCAACTGTAGACCACCTCTAACATCTATGGATTGAGTTGGAAAAGATGCACGGCATCTAGGACAGAAGCTGAATTTTGTATGTGCCTGTGTGCGCTCTGTCAGTGGCAAAGCATATGGGGTAAGGGGAATTGAAACTTTTCTGGCCTTCCACAATACAGGATTCCTGGGCAAACTGCCCTGATTTTCCTGCTGCTGGGTGACCCTGATTACGAAACAAGTGTACTGAAGCAGAGCTATTCCAATGACTCTCAGAATCAATTTTCTGCCATACCATGTGCCTGGCCTGAAATTCTCCCTGACAGTCATTGAAGCTGTCAGTTGAAAGTCTCCACAGCCCCTGGTTAAATGTTCAATTGAAAAACTAATACATCATCCCCTTGGTTTTAATCATGCCACACCTTGGTATGAACATACCAGACTTTGCACTGACAGGTGGGTTCCAGGATTGACCGAGACCTTTGTTCAGACCCTTTGTGTTCTCTGTCAGGGTTTGTCAGGTCTCTCATTTACAGATCTGCTGAGAGCCATGTTATGTGGCATTGTGCATAGTCTTAAGAGATTATTATGCTGAGCAACCTTGGTTGAAAAGGAAGACTCTTTCTGGCTGCTAAGCCAGGACTTAAGTCACAGGAAGCTGGCGACTAAGAAGCAGGAATCATGGCTACAGGGATCCAAGCTGACTGGTTTAAGGGTAGCCCTCAGCTTTGTGTACTGTACTCGATGGTCATCAGTGCTGTATCACAGCAGTGGAAATAGAATGGAAACATCTGGAGTCCCAGACCTGCAACTGGGAAGCAAGCCTTCCTCTTTGGATTTGCATGCTATGCGTATATGTGCCTTGCAAGGCCTCAGAGATGAGTTAGTTCAGAGTATTTCTCAAGGTGCAAAAGCTTGGAGTGAGCATAAGGAGATGTACTCTTTCTCAGTCTACAGCCATCAATACACACTGGTGTGGTGCCAGGCTTTGCTGCCCCAAAGCCGGCTTATAATTTGGTGTGTTTGTTTGACAATATTTCATCCTCTCCGGTTGCTAGACGGTAGTCTTTCTGTACTTCAGCAGTAGTCAAATGATGCTGAACTGTCCATAGCCTGAGGCTGTACATCCCTCTAATGCATTAATAACATGAACTTAACAGGTACTTGCTGGTGTAGAGACCTTCTGCAACTGATAACAATTTCTTTTACAGATGCAGTTTAGCCTAGTGTGAAAATCATGTTCTGATTCAGTCCTGAGAATAACAGTGCTGTAATAAGTACAATTTTAAAAAAATGACAGGAAATATTCTGTTAGATTTGCAACATTAACGATAGTGGTGGATATATGTCTGTTTTATGTGGTACCACAGTGGAACTGTGCCGTGTTCAGTGCTCAGGACCATTAAACAACACAGGGGGGCTTTAATGGGAAGTTTAGTGGTTCTGATGCTGGAAATCAGTTTTCTGTGCTTTGCCCCTTAGGTACTTTCTAAACAGAAAAGTTGATGACAGTTGTGCTGTGATGTGTTAGGCTTTCAGGTCTGTAGTGGTGGTAAATTCCAGAAAGGAGAGAAAATAAGAGAGTTCTCAGAGTTTATGTAGGGCACGAAGGATGCTCTTACCCATATAAGGATTACATTTTCTTCAGGCAGGATGCGGTATCTGTAGGATGGGAGTCTTTACTGCTTTTAGCCTTGTCTAGACTGGAAAACTTCACTACTTTAATGATACTGAATATTTACTAACGGTAAAATAAGCAGTGTGCTATTATGGCACCTGTAAGCATTTTTATAAAAATGCTTACATAATGTTATACATTTATTAATAGACTCACTTTTCCATGGAGGTTTTTCTTTACCTGAATAACAGCCAGTTTAACAAAAAGTCATTCTTGCTCAGGGGGGTGAACTAAAAATTCCTGGTGGTAGTGATCAGCTAACATAATTGACTAGTGTAAGCTGTTGTCCCTCTTGTACAGAGTTTTTCTTTGCTGTTTTGCTGGTCGGGGGTTGGGGGGGGAAGTATGGATTGTTGGTTGTTACTTCTTCTTCTGTTTTGCATCAACTGTTCATTTTGGCAGCTATAATAAAATAGAAGCATATTTTTGTTAAGACATTAATGTTCTAGTTTCCTCTTTTATTCTTTTTCATGAATTTACAGTGCTGTGCAGTGGTGATTGTGTCAGACTCTGGAATTCAGGAGAATGTTTAAGTTTTGTTCCCATACTTCACCTGATGGTCTGTTCATCTGCTCAGAAATGAGCTCTAGTTCTTGGGAGCGTCAGGAGCTAAGATCAGTGTATTCCTTTTGTCCTTGTACCTTTGATAGAGTTGTCCCGCAGCTGCTTTGAGTTGTTCTCCCAAGATCAGAACCATAAAGACTTTTTTTCTGTCCTATGCTGAGCTATTCAGGGTTGAGCTCCTTAGGAAACTCCTTGAAGTGAGGTGTTAGCTGCAGGGCTGGAGGCAAAGGCTTGACATTTCTGGCCCTGTCTACATATTTACTGGTATCCTGCTGAGAGTACAGGGAAAATTAGGTAGGGAAAAAAGAGGTAAGGAACCAGACAAGAAGGAGTTATGTTCAACTTTAAATGAGTAAATGTGACATCTCTTAAGAGCAGCCTCCTACCTTACTCTGTTTTTTGTTGCCAGGCAAGAATATGGTGGTGGCAATGTGGTTGTACTGGGACAGGTGCAGGATTGAATACCACTGTGTTCCTCTTGCTGTTATGCAGTGGTGCATGTCATGCCTCTTGATCACCCCTGTTAGTCCTCTGTAGGCCTAAGCATGTTAATGTAGAGTACCCTTCTGACCATAATTTGAGCAAATGTCTAAATTTGAATTTGCCATTATTTCAGCTGCTAGCTCTCCAAGGCAGTAGCTGCATTTTGTTCTGATTTTAGTAAATGGTGTCCTCCTCTGGATGTTAAATCCATGCTTACATATGCCCTAAGTATATAAAATGTACGTTTATTCCTCTCTAACTGCTCATAAAAAAAGAACAGTTAGCAAGTGACCAAGTAACGCTTTTCTCAGTGTTAGTTGATATTTCTGGATAAGTATCCTTAAAGCACTAGAGAGTCACAACTCTGTGAAACAGTAGAAGTTACTGCTGAGCTCATCTGTTCCTCCTCTCCCAAGCTTGATGGTTATTTCAGGCTGAGCACAGCCCCTCCACCCTTCTACTTTTACTCCTCCCTCAGGGTCTGCCAGAGCTGGAGTGATCACCTGTAATGCTGAGGGCATGCCTGCCCGCCTTTTCTCTTGTCTTCCTGCCAGCAGTGCCACTCCCACCCACGTTTCACACCCTGGTTCCTGAGAGCTGCTGCCGTTTGGGTATCAGGAGTAGCAGAGGGGATTGGCAGCATGGTGGGGGGAGGCGGGTCAGGTGGGCATCAGCTCCTGGAGCTCCTGTCCTCCTTCACAGCTCTCGCTGGTGGTTACTGTGCGCACAGCACTACTTGACATAGGTGTGAGGCGCTCTTCCCACAGGGCAATGCCCACCCCAGAACCTTTCTGTGTCACCAGATGTCATTGTGCTTGATAAACCTTTAGCTGAGCAGCTAAAGGAATGTGATTTGTTTGTGGCATGACTGGGGCCTGCAGGCAACAAACACTTCACTCTAGGCTGCAGTCTTAGCAACTGTCCTTCAGTGAAGTTTCCAACAGTTTTCCAGACTGGGACAATAGTAGACACAGCTTCTTAAATTACTGAGTGGAATGTGTGTTCTGCACATTGTCCAAAATGGTCTTCTTACATGTCCCATTTAATTCTTGGGGTGACTGTTCCTTTGTTCACCCAGCTAGCCAAATATATAGCTGTGTGCCTTGTGGCATGTCTCTTTAAGCAACTATTCAAGCATCTGTTCTAATAGCACTTGTTAACATTTTATGCTAAGGTTTGAATTTTGCTGGCTTGCTGATACAGCTATGCAGGCAAAAATTTTCAAACTTTCTGTTAAAAGAGGCTGTTAAAAACTCTGTTGTTACACGATGCTCATGTTGCAGCTTGCAGTCTGAAACTATTTACTGCAGCTTGGTAAAGAAATACATTTTGTTGGTAGGCCAAACTGCTCTTCTTCCTTTCCATACCTTCCTCAAACCCACATATTGCCCATCAGCTGAACATGGCTGACTTCTTACATGGGTTACTGTCTTCAGGACAATGAAATGGGGAAGGTCTCTAATAATATAGGCCTGAGCAAGGCAGCTAGTTTGGGATCTGTCCCCAAAGACAGAAACAGTAAATGCATCATGTGTTCATTATCAGAAAACACTTTTTATGTCTCACTTTTACAGAGCTTCATTTTAATGTCAACTGTGCACAAAGGACTAAATTTGTCATCTGTCTGCCAAATTCTGCAAAGGTAGCATGTGTGTTTTCATTGTAGATTACGCTGCATCCATGTGTACTCCACTGTTTTCTGTTTTGACAGTCATGAGAGCTGCTATCCTGATCCAGAATTGGTACCGCTTTACAATGGCCCGGCTAGAGATGAAGCGCCGCTATTCTCTGAGCATCTTCCAGTCAATCGAATATGCTGATGAGCAAGATCAACTACAGGTTTGTAATCATCAGTCCTTCCTGTACTACTAGTTATGTTATTCCCAGAGGACTGAAGAAGCACAAACAAATTGGGTATGTGGTTATTTCTCCCCACAAAGCTGTGTCCTGTATAATAAAACTGCTCCCTGCCTCACATATGAACTGATACAGTTGTGTAGATGTGTATATTTATATATACAATATATATGTGTGTGTGTGTGTATGTATATATATAGATAGATATATAAAAAAGCCTGTGTAAGCAGCAGGACACCATTCTGCCGGTACAACCATATCTAGGTTAGAGGTTCCTGTAAAGCAGCCAAGGATTGCAGGTCATCCCACTACGGGTGATCTTAACCATCTCTGTGAGGCAAGATACATGTGACAGAAATATCAATGTCTCAGCATGTCAGCCCAGGCTTCCTTTAGGGTCAATACAGGAAATGAGGAACTTCTAGGGCTTTGTATTCATCCTAGAACCAGTGGCTAAAGTTAGTTTGATGCATTGTAGCAGTTTCTTTCTGTTGACTACAAAGGAAGTCTAGGCAAATAGTCTGCATGATTGGCAAGATGAATTACACCCAAAATTGTCAGCAGCATTGATACAACCCTGGAACTTTGTATGTATTCATATACATACAGTCAATCTGCTAATTCATAGCTAAGAAGGAAAGGACTAAACCATTTCTGTACTAGGACACAAGTTGTATCATTATTGTAGCCTGATGCTGTGGGAATGTACAGTCATGTCTTAGAGCCTCTTAAATGGGAAATTGCTAGTAATTGAGTAAGGAAGGAGAATGTTAATGCTTGTTGGATCCCCTAAATTCATCAGTGTGTGTTTGTTCTTTTCTGTGTTCAGCTGTCCAACTTTTTTACATTTATGCTGGATCACTGTATTCATCCTGATTCAGGTAAGGATAAAAATCCAAATAATATGGAAATTCTGTTCAAAAAACTTGATGTGAGGAAAGTTAATTTTCAACGTGATGTTTACAGTCTATGGCACATGCTGGGGCTGTGGTTTGATTTCCCAAATACTGTAACAAGAATTTGATCCTCTAAGTATTGACTCTACTCAATATGTACTCACTGAGTCAAACTGTAGCAGATGACAGATACATGTCCTTACGAGAATACTCAGAGGTGCTCAGAGTGCTTTCTTACATGTTACTGCCCTTAAGCTGTGCTCATGGTAGCCTTACTGACTCCAGTTTTCACAGATTTCTGTGCATGTTTTCTTAAATGATGAGATGTGATTATCCAGAAAGAACGTGTCTAGTTGGTTTAGGGCAGATGTAATCAAAGATGTTGAGGGGTTTTTGTTTATTTCCCTTTTCCCTGATGCAGTTCTGGACCACTTTTTGCTTTGTTCTAGATTTCACTGCAAAACATATATTAGCATGTGTCAGCATGTGAGTGATTAAAAATTAAAGAAACTTAAACTGCTGGAGATAAATCTTTAGAAACCATCTCAATTAAAAATCAGTTATTCAAAGAATAACCTTTAATCTTTGAGGTATTTTGGGATCCTTGGACAAAACTTACTTTTGAGGTCAAGCTCAACAGAAGGACAGACTGAAAGTGACTTCCTAAGTCCAGAAAACAAACATGACTTCCCTGAACAAATTGAGAATAGATCTAATCCCAGTGGAGTTAAAAAGGAGGCTGTCCCCTTCTTACTGAATTACAAGAGAATGTCCTTCCGCTTTCATCTGGTCCAGTCACAGGTTATTCCAATTAAAATTTGCACAAGACACTTTGATAGTAGGATAAAACCGCCATCAAAACCGTAAGTGGTTGAGTGTTCTAATGACAAACATTAGAAATGGCAATTTTTCTCTCTTAAATACTTTAGAGTGCCTAATGCTCTCTGTGCTCTGCAGAAAAAGAAATTATGTTTGAGCCTTGCTCCAAAGCCAAGGCAGATGATACAATAGTCCTTTTTTTTTTTCCTTTACCACTGTTTTATGAAAAAAAATCTGCTTTAGTCATTTAATTCCTGGGAAGGAATCAGCAAACTCAAAGAAAATCAAGCACTACTCATTTCATCTACTTCTACATTCTGATAGCAGACCTCAGTTCAGCTTTTCCGTCTGAGTGGAAAATAAAATAGTAGCGCTAGGTCTGAGATTTTGAAAAATTGTGTTATAATCTCTATTTTCATTGTAATATCAAAAGGGAATTTTACAGCTGTTCGTTGTAGATATGATTTATCCACTTTTCTTAGCTGCATCTATTGATAGAAGGAACAAAGGGGAGTGAGGTGCCTCAGGTGACTTGCTAGGGCTCAGAAGGTGGCTGGGTAAGGAGCACACAGCTCCATGCGTAGGCTGTTTATGAGCAGGTGGAGATCCAGGCCCCACCTGTGCACAGGGAGGGATGGAGGGTGCTGTGGGTTGCTCCTTGTCACCACTGCATGGGTGACCTCTTGGTCTTGCAGATATTGGGAGTTGTGGGCATGGTTGAGGCTGGAACACATGATAAAGTGTGTGGTTTATGGTAAAGCTCCCCTTTATCTTACTTGCTTAAAACTTTTTTCTGTTAGGACTGAAGTTGTTAAGGCTTAATAACTGCTCCAAAGGCTTTATTTTTGTCTTAATTTGTTACTTCTCTCTTTCTAACACCCCTGTTACAGATACCAGAACCCTAAAAGAAATGGGAGGATTCTGTAAGATACATGTTAAATAGGCACAGCCCAGGTCACCTTTGTAAAGGAATTGACTTAGGGGGGTTTTTAGAGAAATTGCATGTCAAATTTTTGTGTGCTTTGTGTTACGTTTGTCCAACTACTGACTGTGCATTCTTTACTTCAAGCTCTCTATTGCTTGCCTCTTTAAGTGACCTTTGCAGTACCCATGCTAGCCCCACAGATTTAAGCAAAATCAGTGCCAAATAGAGTGGTTCCTAATGAACCGTTTCCAGTTCTGCTGAATCACAGTCTTATGATGCAGGCCATGGTGAGTGTAAGCAAGCAGAGAGTGTAACAAGAAGAGAGGCTTCAAATTTGCTTTCCTATTCCCAAGTATTTTCTAAAATCCACAATTCTCTGGCTTTTTTTTTATCAGTGTGTGCTCACTTAAATTAGTGGTTACATATAGTTCAAAAGCCTTCTCCAAGAAAATAGCATATAATATTCTTACCAGAGAATAGGTTGCCTGTTCCTCTCAGTATGTGATGAGAAAGATACCTGTAGATTTTGTGATCTGTTTTTCCTTGCATTATAAACCACTCAGTCTCCATTATTTATCTTGTCACTTTCCTCTTTTTAATCTGCTTTTTCAGAATATGTTTTCCGAACGAAGCAAGCAGCCACTGTCTCATTAACACAGTGGTGCTTTTGATGTGATTGTTTAACTGTTGTACCCCGAAGCTTTTTTCAACCTCTCATCCTGCTTAAGATGTCAGTGCAGTTTAAGTTGTGATTGGGATATTATGCAGATGTGTGTTTGTTCTTAGTCTGCTTCTGGTTAAAGGCTGTTTTCCAAGAATTTGTGGGAAGTAAGAATTAAAATCTTTTCCACCTTACATTTTTCTCCCTCCCTCTCCCCACACCTATTCAGCCTTTCAATGGAAAGATCTCTGGTCAGAGAAAGCTGGAAACTGTTTTTACAACAAAAGGTGACACCTTTACTCACTCTTTTCTGGATGCATTGAGGGTGAGAAGGCTGCAAACATGTCCTGGGCAAAGTGGTGGCACCAGAGCAGGAGCCACACCTCCTGGAGCCTTCCTTCAAAGGGAAATAAAATAAGGTGCTGTTTTCTGCAGTTTCACTCCCCATCACTTACAGGATTAACACCCTTTCAAGGCTTCTTGTATATGGTGATTCTTGCAGTAGGGAATAAATCACAGCTGCTTGCAGCTCACAGCGCCAGGAACAAGTTACAGGAATAAATATTTGGAGTGTTACAGAAATCTTCATCCTCTCAGTAGGTGCAAGGTCCATCTGGCTTTGACCTGATGGTAGGGGATCAGTATCTGGCATGTCTAAGCGCATTCCTCAGGAGTCAGAGGTACTCTCAGGTACCCCAATGGTTAGTCTGAAGGTGCACGGATGGTGACAGAGTAGAGAGCTTATTTCAGAGCTGCAGAAGTAGCTGATTCCCTGTTACCCTCATAGCGAGTACATCCTTGGCAATGGTGTCTTTGACTTGCCTTGAACAGCTCCCATGGCAAGATGATCTTGTCAGGAGAACCAGGTTCCTGGCCTTTCTGTGGCCGCATTGACTCCACGTACCTCTTGGCTTTTGTGTTTAATATTAGAAAGGGCTATTGCTCTGCATGGGATCTGCTAATAGAGAAGGCTGAATTCACTGAGCTTGGGTAGACCTCTGGTGGTAGAGTATAAAGCAGGTCATTCCCTGTGCTCTCTGTACTCGGTGGAGAGATGCAGATACTGGCAGAGGGTATTTCATTCTGTCTTAAGATGGGTGCCTGAACTAGGCACATTGAGAGTTTTCATCCCTGTCTTTCTACATGGACTGAAAGAGCCTTGACAGCTTCAACTAGAAGATTACTAAAATGAGAAGGGCGCTGAATCCTTCAGAATTAGTCCTGCATGGGGCTTGTGGTGAGCTGGGGTACTCCCCAAGCTGCATTAGGGCATCCATTACTGACTCCTCTGATAGCTGAAAGACTGCCCAAGAAGATGTAAGTGCACTCTGAGGCTAATGACCCTGACTGGCTTTTGATGACTCATCCAGAAGTGGAAAATGGGGTGTACTTTGCAGAGATATGCCCTACAGGAAAGAATATTGGGTTTCTCAGCCTGGGCACATGCCAAAAAGCAAGCAAGGCTGCGGGGAAGGCAGGTTCATGTTCAGAGGTAAAGGCAAGGGTAGCCTCCTGCATGCAAGAGGGGAGGGATGGAGTAGGGGCAGGTGTGTGCAGATGTCTGCCTGGCTTGAAATGCTGGGAAGACCACTGACTCTGAAGGAGTCATGTCAGATGAGGAGAGTCTCTGGCCAGTACGGGCAAGTGATGAGGAGTTCACATGGTCTGAGGAACTGGCTCCATGATCTGTAGCCACCTACTTCCAAAGAGGAGGGCACACAGAGAGATGCTATCCAGAGACCCACTGCTAGAGCTGAGAGGAGACTTGGTACAGATGTACTTGGCTGATCAGGATGTGGGAAGCAGCAGTTTCAGGCCATAGGCGATGTTCTGGCGTCCAGCCAGACAAAGCTGTAACTGGTGGAAGGCTGCAAATCAGACTGTACATGGTGGAAATAGTGAACCCTGAGCACCTTGCTGTTATTTGATGCCTTAATCAATTTACATGGCTGTACACTGAATGTGCTAATCAGCTCGCAGCAAAAAAAGCTGATAAAATAAGGGTTTTTTAAATTGAGAGCTCATAAGAAGTGTGTTTTATCTATTTATTTCTTTAATACGGATTTTATCTGGTTACAAGACAAGCTGGCCTTTATGAAGCTTATCATTTATTAGGCCACATGCAGGTTTTGGCTGCTGTGAGTTTTGAGCCACAGCCACAGGTATTCCTCCAGCAATAAATAATACATTTTTATTTCCAGTTGCATCTAATCAAGGTTACAGAAAACTTACCTGCAGCCCAGCAAACAGTGTTTACAACAGTCATCTCACAAGAGCAACTCAGCCACAGCAGCTGACAGAACCCTGTCCTCTAGGGTCTGGCCCTCTCTCTTTTAGAATAATAGCTGGTAAAGACAATCCACAGGAAGAAAATGCTGAAATCTACTGTTCACTCAGTTACATTTCAATGGTATGTCAGGAAAATATTGGATTGAAGCAATAAGCAATGCACCTGTGCTTTCTCCACATTGCAGGAGAATCAAAAGAAACTATGCTGTACTTCTGCTACTGTGGCTTTGTTTACTTTATTTCATCTAATGGTTTCATGGCAGCCAACCAAAAGCTGGCATTGTCTCCTAGTTGTATCAGAAAGAAGTGCTTTGCAATTCACTGTGAAGAAATAGGATTTTGTTGCTGACTTTTTAAATATTCAATGAGCTTCTGGTATTTAGCCTGAAAATTTTATGTAGAAAATAAAAGCAAATCTTAAAAATCTATTTTAAAAGTGTAATATTGAACTTTAAACAAATGATGGTCATTGAATGATCAGTCATGACTTTTGAATCTCCTTGCTTTGTTGGGGAAGGAGAACACAACTTCAGTGCAAAATGTTTTGTATCCTAACTACAGCTACTGGTTGTTGAGACAGAGGTTTTGCCTCTTTTTTTGTTATTGGTTGGTTAGTTTTTGCATTGTATTGGGTTGGTTGGAGGTTTTGGGAGGTTTTTTTTTAGTACTGTGAAAAAATCTGGGGAGACATGGAGGTCTTGTGCTATACAAGGGAGGAGTTAGCCACTGTAATACTGCAGCAAGTAAAGCATCAGTTACATTCAACATGACATTCTGGTCATGCTGTTACAGCCCTATGGGGAACTGATGGAGTTTCTACATTGTTGTTTATTTTCCCTCTTGTTCCAGTTTCTCCCCTTTTCACTGGCCCTAGTGTTCCTCAGGTGGTGGATGAAGGCTTATGTTTAACAGAATTTGAAGAGAAGATTTATGTTCCAGACTCCTATTCTGGACCACGACTCTCATTCCCCCTTACTGCTGAGGATGCCAGTGCTCTTCTTCATGCTTTCAGGAATGAACAGGTAAGTTGCAACTAGTTTGATTTCAGTTTACTTACTTTACATCTAGTCAAGTTGTAGCTCCACAATCAGTTGAACCCAATGTAAAGTTCAACTGGTGCCCTAGGAGATATTTCTCCCTTCCATCTTCTTTCCATCCTCTTACACTTTCCTGCTCTCCCCGAGTTATCATAAAGGTACATGACAGGCTGTCTTGGGAAACTGACCTGACTGGAAGCTAACACAACAAAATCAAAAGCAGTCAGTTCTCAGCCAGGCCAGTTCCCAGATTTGATTTACTACTTGGCTACATGGGGAGAGGGCAGGGTCTAGTTGGGACCTCCTCTTCTAGCATTGAGATTACAGTGATCATGAAATGGGAACCCTTAGCAGCTGCAAGACAGAGGATATCAGTGAGGATGCAGGACTAGGGAAGGTGTCCTAATCTAACATAGAAACTGGTTATCATTATTTTCTAGGTTAAAAGCACTCCTTGTGTGGTCCTCTTTCCCCACCTCCCCACCCCATTCATTTTTAGAGGAATTGAGGCGCAAGTGTTAATCGCCTTGTTCTGCTGTGCAAGACTCCACCATAATGGAAGAGTTAATATAAAGCATTGCTAATGTGGGGCAACAGGGTGACAGCACAAATCTCAGGAGCTCACTGGCTGCTGCTGCCGAGGCACTGGGAAGGCTGGGGCTGATTCTCTGCGTTCCTGAGCAAGCCCCTTTGCTGCCCTCTTACAAGATGAGCGTAAGGCAGGGAGGCATTACATGACACAGCTTTGTTTGAACTTGTGCTTAACAGTAGACTGTATACAAAAGATAAGAGTCTGTCGTGCTTTTTAATGTACTAAGTAATTGGGGGAGTAGTGTCTGTAACTTTCTGTGGAGGCTGATCATCAAAGTAGCAAAATATAAAGTGCATGATAAATGAGCACCCAGACTTCATCTTATTGTCAGCTCTCTCTTCTCTTACTGTGGTTGACATTTTATTAAGGAAATTATTATATTTAATTGGCCATTTTTTCTTTGTTTTTAAAAACATGAGTCTTGAAAAGTCAGTCTGTAAGCTCTTCTCTCTCTTCTACCAAACTTCCTTGGAGCTGTGTTTGAATTAAAAGCTTTAAAAATCACTGACTGACAAAATTATCATAGAAAGCATGGAGAAGACCAGAAGCTTCAATGTTATGTCCCCATAATACATCTTCAGAGCAAACATGAAGATAACTCTTAACAGGGCAATTTCTGCTGGAGTTTCCCTCTGATTATTTTTGCAATTTGCTGAAATATCTTTTGTGGCCTTTGGGGTTTTTTGGTTGGTTTATGGTTTTGTTGGTTTTTTTTCTACTCACAGCTCGAACTATATGGAATCATGGAATCATTTAGGTTGGAAAAGACCTTTAAGATCATTGAGCCCAGCCATTAACCTGGCACTCCTTTTTGTTTGGTTTTCTTTTTTTTCTAGTTACTTTGAACAGGTGAGCTTACGCAATGATTCTGAGTGCTGTGCAACTCAGTCATTTATCCTTTCTGTAGATGGGAAGAGTTGAAACAGTGCACTAGAAATAAAATGGGAAAATGTGTGAAGCAAGTTCTTTAAGGGCTGTATATCCATTCACTGGGAAGCAAGTGCAAAGCGATGAACGCTCATAATTCCCAGCACTAAACTCTACAGCCTGTAATCATGTCTGGAGGTCTGTAGTGTAAATAATCTGGCAATATATATGTCTGATATTAATAAAGCAGACAGACGTATTGCTACTTCTAGTAAGTCTCCCTTTTTTCCTCTGCATTTTTTGTTCTCACAGCTGCTTCATGCCCGCTATGTACTGCAGCTACTGTGTGAAACTAGGAGGGTTCTCAAGGAGATGCCAAATATCACCCATCTTTCAACTTCCTACTCCAAGGAGATAACTGTCTGTGGTAAGGTGCCAGAGAAGATCGCCACTTTGGGCCACGGGTTGATATTCTAAGTGGTTAGAGAATGATACAAACATTTCCAAATGTTGCTATTACAAGAAAGTTCTCAATGTTTTTTTCCCTTTTTTTTTCTTTCTTACAAATGCATAAATTGGAACAAACAAACAAAGTTCCTGAGTCACACTAAGTGTATTTTAAGTAAGGCGCTCACATCCTATTTCCTTTTCTCATTAAACATTTCTGAATGAGTCAGTATTAATTCAGCTAACACTGCAGCGTAGCTTAAATGTTCCTGCACTTCCATCTCTAAAATGCCACCAAGTATTTTGAACACTGACTGCAATTCTCACTTCTTTCTCCTCTTACTGAGAAAAAGACTTTACCATCATAATTTACTCAGTAATGATTTTAATGAGGGCTTAATACGGGTGGCAAACAAGACCTTTCATTGACAGCATGACTATCTAGAATAAATTGAAATTATAATACACCCTTATTTCTAAAGGGACCCAAGAGGATGAATCAGTCTTTATACAACCAACAAATTAGTCTCACAGAATGATGTGATATGTCACAAGGTAAAGAACTAAGAGCTCATTGCCTGTCTATTTTTGTTACGCTTTTGTAAATTATGGATCAAGGGATGCAGTATCCTGACTTGCCTCAGAATGCAGTAGCTGCAAAACAGAACAGTAATGCTGACATTAACTCTTGACAGCTAGCGGTGTGTGCTGTGTTTAACAGTGAAGTGGTATAAGGAAGGGTACTATGACACATGCAAGACAAATAATCTATTTTAAGATGTCGTTATGCACCCACTTTGATTGCCAGGAAAGGGTTTGTTTAAATGAGGTTTTGTATAACCAATAATTTTTTAAACAAACAAAACCTCTCTTCAAACCAAGGAAACATGGATTCATACTTGTTCACTACAGAGCATGTTCATACGAAGCAAAACATACCTTCCTTATGTTTGTATTGCATTTGCATTATATAAGAGGCATCTAAAGGGGTCTCCTTCCTGCCATTGAAACAAATAGCTTTTGTAACCAGAAAGATCCTCTTCAGAAGATGAGAGACCGATTTTTAGACATAATCAGTCCAATATGTTGATTTCCTTAAAATGAGGTATCTGTCTTCCCATTTTATTTTAATTTCAAATTAATAATGCAGATTAAATACACACCTGAAATGTTTGTATCCACATACGTGAAGAAAATCTATCATAGCTTGAAGGACTTCAGCAGGCTCATAATTAATAACAAGTGGCACAGAAAACATGTGGACAAGGTTAAAATGTCTCTTCTCTCCTACTCATTGGCAGTGAAAGCATATTATCACAAGACAGGTTTTGAAACTGTTCTGTGTCTTCATGGTGGTGAGTCACAGACGTGAGAAGGTTGGTTTTGTGAGCATGAAACTCAGTCATATGCAGAGGGGAGCTATGCTGCAGTGATCCTTCGTGCTGGGGTGAAGTCCCGTCTGTTCCAAAACAAGCCTCTCAGAACAGACCTAGTCTGTCATTCCTGTGGCCTTAGCACTGAGGCATACAAGCACAGGCAGTTCTTGACACTCTCCATGAAATCCTGCCTGTAGTAATCCAAACCTGGCCCTGAATCAAAAATGTTTGCTTGTGCTGTATGTAGTGGGCTACTCAGTAAATCTAAACCTGTTGGTATGTAGAAGTCTATCCTATCTGTAAATGTCTCTTAGTGACATTTTCTGTTTTTCAGGTTCATAATATGTTTGTTCATCCTACTCCCATTTCCCTGAGTGAATCTTTGGCTGTGTGACTGGTCTGATCTTCAGATCCGGCTGGAAAAACAAAAACTTTATGCAAGACAATTATATACTCTTTTAAGTATTTCGTAGCCAGATTTTACAAGCAACTTCAGCATGTGCCTTAAAATGAAGCTAGTCCTAATACAAGGCAAATTACTGAGGAAAACATGGGAAAAACTTGTTAGGACTAACTAATTCCAGTTTTATAATTCCAGTTTTTCCTCCTCTGTGAGAAAATACAAGAGAAAAAAAAAAGAAAATAATGTTTTTGTTTCCTGTAGGAGATTTGCATGGAAACCTGGATGATCTTTTGCTGATATTCTATAAGGTAAGTAGGTAGTCTGTGATGTAGTGTTTTCACTTTGCAGCTTGTTGTTAAGAACACATACTTATGTCTGATAAATTTATCACTGTTAGAACCGTACATGTGGTGTGCATGTACCACACACACAAATCCTGGAACAATTTGAATGGTATCTTTGTTGTAGCTTTTCCTTCTCTGTATCCTTGTGCTCACTGTGAAGGAGGAGATTGTTCTTTTCCTAAATGTTGAGCTGGAGCATGAACCTTGCAATGTTTCCAAAGTCCTGCGACTTATTTTATATTTCATATTGACTAAAGTCTTCTAAAATGAGGAGCTAATTAGTTCCTGATGTAATACTACTGAATAATTTTGGCCCTCCAGTAAAATGCAGAAATTTCCATTTAGGCCTTCTGTTGACACCTGCAAAGTGTTTTTTATTATTATTTGTTTACAAGAAACAAAAAAGAGTGCTATCTGTTTAAAAGCTTTTTAAGTCTTGGAAGCAATCACGTCGTCTGCACAAAATGGAAATACCTTGGGCACTATTTACATATCCTTGAACAGTTGCTCACTTTTTAATGTTATAAAAGCATAGCTCTGTTTTACTGACGTGAAAAAAATTAAGCTCCAGGCTGTCTTTTCCACAATTTTATATTTAACTGAAGATATGGGAAATTTCCTATATTTAGTTTCACATTTATCTTTAGCATGAATCTCCACCTTTCATTTAGCAGATACTCTCTTTGATTTGAGCTTCCTGGGAGAAGGGGTTTGTGTCTGATCCTTACACATTCATCTGCACTGAACAGAGCCTGAAGTGCTAAACCAGGTGTTTAAATTATGTACTTCACCCTCTGCTTCCAACTATGTCAGCTTTATCTGACACTCATTGAGTGGAAACTTGGGTGTTTTGCCCAGGTGCATACCTGAAGCCTGCTGAAATATAATCAGACCTTTTTACAGCATTCTGCTTTTCTTATTAATCCATCAGTTATGTTTAGCTGGTTCCTGGCATGCAGTCTTTTAGCTGTTATTTTAATTAGACAATCTTCCTTTTTGAAACTGGAATAAGAGTATGGTACAGATTGGTTTCATATGCAGGACCTGGAATGGGAAAAAAAACCTATTTTGAAGAGAAATGCTAAGATATATTTTTAACTGCCATCAGCCTGGATTTTGCTCTTTTGGAGTAAACAGGAGATTATTCTTTCCCCCCTCTCTAATGGATATAATAAAGGAAAAAAAAACTCTAAGCAAGGACTAAGTCCTGACTTCAATAAATTCAGGACCAAAACTCCCACTGACTTCAGGGACTAGAGTTTACTCCCATTCTCTGTTAAGCTTCTAGGGGAATCCTTCCACAAATGGAATAAAATTGACAAACATTTTGTAATTTCAAAGTGGTTGAGGAAACAGAGAGCACATGATAGAGCTGCTTGGTTATTTAGAAGCAAATTAGATGACACAGTATTTTCAGTCCGTTCTGAGCAGTTTATTCAACCGAGCAGCAAACCCAGTCAGCCTCTGAAATCCATTTTTTTTCTGCTTCTCTAACTCTGTTGCAGTGAGAAGGGATTTCTTCTGCCAAGTTGGTACGAACCCCCTGTAACCTTAAACAAGAGAGTGCAATCCTAAGCAGTGCCATGAAGAGTGCAGTGATCTCAGGTCTGCGCAGAGCCGTGCAGGGCTGGAATGGCTGCTGAAGCGTCTTGCAGGCCTGCACGTGTGCCTTGAGCATGGGGCTCTGTCCAGGGAATCACAGCACTTTTAGAAACTGCCAACAGCAAACACACAGAACCTAACAATCTACAGCTTGTAGATACAGTACTGGTTGTAATAGTGTGTGTAATTCTTAAACCTGGTTTGGGTAAGGCTAAGATAATTCCTTCTTTCTCAAAAACCATTTTGTAAGGTTCATTCAGTCCCTGCATTACTCCATTAAATTACAGCATTTCCTGAAATTCCTTGAAACCTTTGAATTTTAAATGACATATTGCTAAGTTAGGTTGTTAAATGAATGCTATGGATAGAAATAGCCTGAAGCTGTAGAAAATGCAAACAACAAACGGAAGTTAATTGATCACTGTGCCCAGCAGCAAGTTGCTAATCATTAGAGGGCCTTGTTCGCCTCTTTGACTTGTCAGAGGCTGCAACAGTCTGTAATTTAGTTTTGTTCTTATTGTTGGTCAAAACCACAGAAAAGGAAGTAAAAACTTTGCATGAGTGTGGAACAAAACTAAAATGTCACATTGAAGTTGGAAGTCCAAAACAAACTCTCATTTAAAATTAAGAGTTTTGGGTAAGCTTTTCAAAAAGAATAATGATAGAGACTGGAGAGTGCTTCAGTAGATGTGTGTGTCCTTGAGGACTGCGGTTACAGAGTAGCTGTGTGTATACTGACAATCTGCTGGTGATTCACATACCTATCGGTTTTAAGGCAAAGCTTTTATTAATTAATCTTTCCAGGAGCTGTTGCTGAGTCTCTCCTGTCTGTTCCACTTCTGAAATACATCCTTTCTTTTTTAAAACCACTACAACCCACTGCATTGAGAGTCTCATAAACTGCCACTCTTGTGTGAGCACAGAGCAACCACGGGCCTCTTCTAAGTTAACTTGGAGAGAGCTGGGGAGAGGCTAGGGCAGAAACCAAGCAAGCCATATTTACAGCAGTCAGGATTGTGCCGCTGTGAGAATCGAGAGACCAGGATTCACTACTGCATCCTGACATAACACAGGAAATAGATTGGGAAAAGGAATTTCATAAATGATTCAAGTTAAACATTTAATTGGGTCCCCAGTCAAATAATGCATCCTGCAATAAACTGCTAAGGCAGTAAACCAGGGAATGCCATAGGAACACGGGAAATGCTGGACACGGACACAGTAGTTATCTATATTCAGGAAGTGGGATGTCTTGCAATGCTGCCAGACCTATTAAGAGGGGCTTCCACAGTTGTAATCTGATTTTATAGATGTTCTACTGATAATTCTTGTGCATGCCATTTGTGAAAATATAGGTTTCCTTTTTCTGGCAAGTCAAAATTGAAATCACATTTCTGATACTCATGATTGGAAATTATGAAGCTACGTGTAGTTGCTGCTGTACTATCTGTAAGCTGATGGCACCTATTGACGTGTTGGTAACTAACCCAATGATACCATCAATTCACAATGCTAGCTTTTGAGAAGTCACCATTGATAATAAAGCATTGCTCTGTATCGTAAAAAAAAATAAGGTAAGAAATACCTCATGCTCACATGGAACCTCCTATGTTCCAGCTTGCTCCCATTGCCCCTTGTCCTGTCATTTGACATCAGAGAGAAGACCCTGGCTCCTTCCTCCTGACACTCGCCCTTTACAAATTTATAAACATTAATGAGGTCACCCCTCAGTCTCCTCTTCTCCAAGCTAAAGAGACACAGCTCCCCCAGCCGCTCCTCATAAGGGAGATGCTCCACTCCCTCGATCATCCTTGTGGCCCTACGCTGGACTCTTTCAAGCAGCTCCCTGTCCTTCTTGAACTGAGGGGCCCAGAATTGGACACAATATTCCAGATGCGGTCTCACCAGGGCAGAGTAGAGGTGAAGGAGAACCTCTCTCAACCTACTCACCACCCCCCTCCTGATACACCCCAGGATGCCATTGGCCTTCTTGGCTGCAAGGGCACATTGCTGGCTCATGGTCATCCTGCTGTGAGGGTTACAGAACTCTGGACCAGGCTGCCCAGGGAGGTTGTGGAGTCTCCTTCTCTGGAGACATTCAAGGCCAACCTGGACGCGTTCCTGTGTGGCCTAGTTTAGGTGATCCTGCTCTGGCAGGGGGGTTGGACTGGATGAGCTTTCGAGGTCCCTTCCAACTCCTGAGATTCTGTGATTCTGTGAAATACCTGTATGTGCAGCCTTTCAGGTTTGTGAGCGTTCAGGTATCTTTGCTCTAGGGGGTTGCAAAGTGCAATGTGAGTAAAATTCAAGTAGTGCTTTCAGGTTTAAAGCAACTAGAATCTCAGGTTCTTCAGATTTCTGTATTAAGATTTGATGTGCTCTGGCCTGTAGTCTTTCTCGGGAGTTTTGGAAGTATACACTGCAAACAGTGTGAATATATGAAATCCATTTTCTTGCTGTATAAGGAAACATAAGGACTTTCAGATTGTGTCAGAACTTATTTTGTCATGGATTTTTTTTTGTCTTCTATTCAAAATGAATGATTCCCTTCTATTTGCAAGTGCATAACTTCATAGCAGCAGTTGCATCAACAGAAAAGTATATTTTACTCAAAGAATAATGTTCCTTTTTGGTCTCTTTCAATTTAATTTAATAGAGGAAAGGATTAGAGATGGCATCATAAGAACAGCTGGAGAGGTCATCTCTTCCCTGATGGTTCATACAGGTCGTCTTATATGGAGGGTTTTGTTCTAAGCAGTAGAAATAAAGAAATGCAGCATTTTAGATTTTTGTGTCATGCAGGCTTATTTTCAGATTTTTCTAGCAATGTGATCTCATTTAAATGCTATTTCCTTTATTACAGTAGCATAGCAGCATCTCTAAATGTCCTTGTTTTTGTTTCCTTCTGCAGAACGGTCTGCCTTCAGAACAAAACTGTTACGTCTTTAATGGTGATTTTGTTGACAGAGGGAAAAATTCTATGGAAATACTTATAATCCTGTTTGCATTTCTTCTTATCTACCCCAATTATTTACACTTGAATAGAGGAAACCATGAAGACTACATCATAAACCTGAGGTAGATTTTAGGGGGCTTGAGGGTGTGGGGTGGGAGTATCTGGCCTTTTACTAGAAATGTTGGAGCTTTTGAATGCTACTTTAGCCACTGTGACACTCTAAAGCAGAAATAATGTTTTATTAGGTATTCAGGTGTAGCTTTGCATCTCCAAGTTGTGTCAGGAGGGCAAAGAACATCCTCATTACATACAGACACTTGAACAGGAGTCATGTCTTGTCTCTGACCTAATTACGATTTATTAAAGTCAGTGGGCATAGTGCAGCTTCCAGTGTCAAATTGGAGGAAGGAAAATGGGTGGAAGTGTGATATTTTAGGTAAAGCATTGGCTTTTTTACATAGCATAGCAAAAGACATGATAATGTACTATTTAATGGAACCGATAACTCAGGAGCTGATATTTCACTTGACTTCAGACTAAGATGTCACTTCCCAAACACAAGGGGCAGCTAAATATCCAAGCTTCTACACAGAGGTCCATAAGTTGAGAGGTGGCAGTCTGCCCCATTACATGTCCTTATAAGGTAGGAAAATTCCTATCCATAACAGTAGAAAATATTAACTCATTCTGTGTTGGTATGGTGTGCGAAGATGCATTCTGGTGTATGGCTCTTTGCGGGGCATTTTGATTACCAGTGCTGCACCTTAGTAAATTTTGAAGGCTGAGAGTAAGGGCGTTGTGAAAATGTCTCTTGCACCAAGGATATCTTGGTGTTAAAAGAGTGAGGTATCAAAATCCTCATCCTGTATGGAGGGAAATACATGATAGATAACATCTAATAAAGTTGAGTGATTTAGGACCAAAACTCTGCAGAGATTTTGTGGGAAATCTTGCCTATCACCAGTTAGGTACCTCTGAAATTTCCCTCTGGTGTCTAAGAAGTAGAACTGCTAAGCTATTTCATTTAGAGGGGAAAAAGGCCACTTAATACTTATTGGTATAGATTCTGTTCTTGATCTCTTGTATGTATGAAAAATCAGTTTAACTCAATTCTTGAGGCAGAGCAGAGGAAAACACATTTAAACAGAGATGAGACAGAATGGCAGGAGAAAAAAAGAAGTAGAAAACTCCTGGCAATCTCTGTAGTGCAGAAAATCATGCAGAAGGGGCATACTGGAAACCTGTTAATGATGTTGTCCTATTTTTCAGATATGGGTTCACAAAAGAAGTTTCGAAGAAGTATAAGGTAAGATTCCTACTTCTTATATTTTCTTTGTAGTCTTGCACATGAAACCTGTGTAACCAGGAAACTTCCAACCAGTGTATTTAGGTGTAGTACAGAATGCCTTTAGTAATGTAGTTAGAATTAATCTGGATTTTCAGTGGAATAACTGGCAAAACACCTTAGAGGGTTAGCCTTTTATGCTCAGATATCTGTGGGATGAAATAAATAACATTCATGAGGCCACTCAAGAACACAAAAAGAGGTGAACATGAAAGAAAAATGGAATACTATAGAGACAATCAAATAGCCCTAAAGTAAATGTCAGAACACGTTTGTCAGTGTTGCAGTTCGGGGTGTCACCTGGACGGAACTGTTCATACAGACTGTGGCAGACGCTTCAGCAAAATCTTAATCTTAGAAGCAGAATCTTAGAACAGAATCTGACAGAGACAGCATCTAATGTAACACTATGTTTTACAGGACTATAGGAAACAGATTTTGTATCTTTTGCGAGATGTCTTTAGCTGGCTTCCCCTCGCCACTATAATTGATAGCAAAGTTCTTATCCTACACGGAGGGATTTCAGACAGCACAGATTTGGATTTCCTGAATGCAGTTGAAAGAAATAAGGTAAGAGATCATATATGTGTGAGGGAAATGTTTTCTTTAAAAAATTTAGCAGTACAAATGCTCAGAAGTTGTTTGCATTAGGAAAGGAAATGGCTGCTGTATAAGGCACATAAGGAAAAAAAGAAGTCTTGTTCTTCAGAATCTGTGTTCAGGAAGAAAGGTTTCAGTAGTGTTGGGAGCCAATTGTTTGACTGCTGTAAAATAACATGGGTCTTTTCACTTTAAAATAGCTAAAACCACATTAGATACCTCCTTCCTGCAGTGATGATGCATTATCCAGAAAGTATGAAAAGTACTTAATTCTCAGGCATTTCTAAACGCTTTAGAAATCAATCTAGCCACATCTTTCTAGCACTGCCTTTTGTCCTGAGGTTTTGCTTCTGCCATCTGTTGTGTGGGGGAAGTTCTCCACCTGTGAGGCGCTCCCTTGGCAGCAGCTGAGCTTTGCACGTGAGGGAGGATCTTTCCAGCAAGGTCAGACTTCAAGACCTGGCCCTGAGAAAACAGAAACTACTGCTTTTCAGGGATTTAGAAGACAGAAACTTTTTTTCCCCCCCCCCGAAATGGTTAGCAAACACAGCTCTTAAAAATGAGTGGAAAGTGGTGTGTGATTTGGTCTTGATTTGGACAACTAAAGCAAGATGTCTGCTTGTGAGTGGAGTGCCTGGGCTCTTTATAGTCAAATGGAGATCCAGGAGATCTGGTAGAGGTCCAAGTCTTACCATTGCTCAAGCATAGGTCTCCAGTGCACCATGGAAGCACCCTATAGCCAAGGGATGTCCCTTCTGGCCTCTGCCTGCCTCTGGAGAAAGTCTCCTTCACGGGTCTCGTGGTCTGATTTGCATCTCCCCACCTCACACCAATTCAGATATCAACAGTAGAGCATCCCAGATGGCACAAGACACCTATGTTTAAGTGACCTTGCGAACCTTTTCATCAGTGTCTGTGGAATCCAGAGCTGCTTCTCTCATTCTCATGTTTTCTAATGCAGAAATAAATGCTTTACAGGACAGTCAGGTGTATCTCTCTTTCTTAAAGATGTGAAAAAGGGCAATGAATGCTTCTGGTCGTTGGAGTCTAGGCTCCATTGGTGGTACACTAAAATTGGGTGCCTAACTACAGATGTAGGTGTCTTAACTGTGAGCCTAGTTCTGCCCACGCTTTCACCAAGGCTGGGCTCAGCGTGTTACTGATGCGGTAGCCGTGAAATGTGGAATTAACAGGTCAAAGTTGCTGCCACAGGAGAGCATTGCTAATGAGACATGTGTGGGCCACAACTCAGGGCAGTATCACTCAAGGCCAACTGATGTATTTTAATTGGTACAGCTGGCAACTGACAGGTCTCAAATACCGGTCAGTACACTGGGGAATAACTCCGTGTTTTGCATTTTGTTTTGTATCAGTCCTTTTCTTTGTTAAAAAATAGAATTTGGAGGGGGTGGGAGGGGAAGGGTGTGTGTTTGTGTGTTTTGTTGTTGGGTTATTTTTTGCTCTGGAAATGAGTTAGTATGAGAAAATTTCAGATGAGAAGAAAAGATACTCCCTGGAGAAGAGTCTGTTTTGATGGGTATTCATGGAGCCATAGCACACAGCTCCAAAAAAGAAAACACCTGTGCATATTGGAGGAGGTTGATTTAACAATAAAAGGGCCTGATGTAATACTTCATCACTTTCACTGTTATCCTCCTGCTACTATGTTTATTTTAGCCAAATTATCCTAGCAGCATGCTGCTGTATCAGAGCAGTAGTGAATGCTGTTTCATCTTCAGTACAGTGTACATGTGTCTTTTCAGTTTCCAGTAGACCGGGGCAGTGCAGGCCGTACTTGGTGTATAGTGAGACTTTGTGATTGACTGTGGCTTGGCATGAGTCTGTGTGTCTGGATAAGAATATGAGAGCAGCCTCTGAAGAGGCTGGTCACTGGTAGATACAAAGCAAAATTTCTGCAAGTGCTGAACGCCTGCACCTTCACCAAACCTGTGCGTTCAGGACATTTATGAGAGTTCAGTACTGAGTACAGGAAACTGGAACTGATGAGTCTTTCAGCTGATATCTCTTTATTATCTTTATGTTTTGGTAACTCTTTCAATTTTATTTTTATTTTTTAAGTTGAAATCTTTGATGCGGCCACCAAATTCAGCGAGAGACAGAGAGGACCAAGTGAAGGAGAGAATTCCCACAACCAGACCCAGTAAACACACTGCCAACCAGAATGTTGCGGGGAAAACACAGCACATCTCTTCATCAGGCTCCATGGAGCCTTCAGGCTCAAATTTGCCTCCAGACCCCACCCTGAAGGAATGGAAACAAGTAGGTGAAACCAAAGACAGGCTGATACCGACACCCCCCCTGCACAAACCCGCCAGGTGCTCTGTTCAGGCAGTGTCTTTTGAGTGTGAGGGGACTGCCTCTTAGTAAGAAACCCACCATCCCTGGGAGTGTACTAGTCACCTATTAGTTATTTGGATGCTTTCTGTAGACCTGGTAATGAAGGTGTGGGGTTTTATACCTTACAAGCACAATTTACCCAGTGTTTTGCTTTGTTAGCCGTTAGGAGGAAACTGCTCGGTATGAGATGTGTTTGCATGCCCTCATGTGGTTGGATCTGTTGGTACATACGTGATTGCCAGTTTAAATAGGTCAGACTTAGCAGTTGTCGGTGACGGTGAGCACCTTTTTTGGCTGTGGTTTTGGCAGCTGAATGCGGATACTGTCCCAAAAAACCCAACTCTTGAGACCTACAGGCTGATTACTCAAGAGTGGGAATTTTTTGTCCTCTGGCTGCTCATTTCTTCTTGAACATTAGAGGCAATATGGAGCTTTTGTCATGCTGTAATTTAATAAATCGTGACAATTTGAAAAAGTTTAATATGCACAGCAATTTAGAAGTTCAAAGTTGAGTTGCATATTAGATTATTCACCTGAGCTCTTCAGAGAACTGCTTTAAGAGACACACTTTTGTTTTGCTTCTTGAGAAGCAAATCTGTCTCTGAAAATGTGGTTTCTGAAGATACGTATCTGAACTACAAACTAACGTAATGGGCACAAACAACCCCTCAAATCTGACACTCCCTCAGCTAACCAAGCCTCTACTGAGCACTACTCACAAATGTGAAGTGGGATGTGTTGGTGTAAACCTTATCCAGTGAGGTTTGAACAAACACATTTTGCCTAGTATTTTGCTACTGACTAGAATTATTCGGATAGGTGACTTTAAACCATAATAATTAATCCTCATATCTGTAAAATCTTGTTTTGAAACATGAGCTAACCCAAGACAACAAAACCAAAGGCAACTCTTGTCATGTTTAGAGTAGGCACTTCCAAGCTTAGTTTAGGTAAAACCAGTGACTCGTGTGTGCTGGGAAACGGAAAATGCCTCTCACACCTAAATGTGAAGAAGGCACCTATTGCTCCCTTTGAAATAGCTCAGGAATAGCCCTGCTGCATCTACCCCAAGTCTGGAAACCTCAGCTGTAAAAAGAGGTACATTCCTGAAATAATATTTCATCTGAAAAAGTTCATCCAAAGTCAAGATAATGTTTCTTAAGAAAAGGAGAACAACAGTTTCAGCCCAAAAGAATGCCCTGCTGAAAGGAAGGAAGAAATCACGAGACCTACTTGTTAGCTCAGGTGTGTTTTCTCCCTGTACTGCGGGGCTTTTACTGTGGGCAGTGCTTTAGGCAGCCATAACCTGTCGGTCCTCAGCCTACCAGTCCTCACTTGCTTGAGTTTGCTGTTTACAGATCCTCGACATCCTCTGGAGTGATCCAAGAAGCCAAAATGGCTGTACACCAAACAAGTGTCGAGGAGGAGGGTGTTACTTTGGCCCTGATGTCACTGCCAAGCTGTTTCAAAGGTACAATCTGAAGATGCTCATCAGGTCTCATGAATTTAAGCCGGAAGGTTATGAGATCAGCCATGGTGGGAAGGTAAGATGCTTCCATGTAAAGTAGAATTCTCCTGTGAATTTCACAGGCATATCCGCAGTAGATTTGTCTGCAAAGTTAATTTAAAAAAAACAACACGTAACTTCTTTAAAATGGGTCTGGGGAAATGTGTGCTACAGAGATGGTAGAACAACTTACGGAGTTCTGGCAAACAAAATTCTTTACAGCTTCAGGGACTGAGGACTCGCTTATTACTCATGTGAAAACATCCACACAATCCCTGAGGAGACTTATGTGTAAATACAGTGCAAGAAATGCTCTAAGACTCTAGAAGCATTTTAACTTCATAGTTTCTCTTCTGGCCCTGCTTTCTGACATGCCATATCAGAAGGCCAGTGAGAACCCTGAAAACCAGGTCTATCTCAGGTTTCTGTTTCACAGCATCTTATACCACACTGCCCTCTGAACTGAAGTCTTCCTAGGACAGGCCAAAAACGCACGCCTGGAGCTCTGACTAGAAAATTGCAAGCAATATGGTGAACAACACAGTTGTGGATCTCTAGTTTTATATGCAATTAATTCTGTCACCTGCATGTTTTTCTAAGATCAGTTTCAGAAATCAGTCTCAAGAAGAGTTGTTCTAGCCAATCCAGTTTCTTTGTTTCCTACGATCAGGTTATCACTGTATTTTCTGCCTCTAACTATTACGAAGAGGGGAGCAACCGGGGAGCATACATCAAACTGAACTGTGAGCTGATTCCTCGGTTTGTACAGTATCAAGTCAGCAAGGACACACGCAGGCAGAACCTTCGGGAGAGGTAAAGCTGTGTGTTGTATGCAGTGAGCATGTACTCACTTAGCATGCGAGTACCTGCCACAAATCTATAGCTTGACTGAATAACTGAATAGGCATCTGTTTTCCTTGGTTTTCCTTGTTTTTCTGTTTTACAATTTAAAAATTAATAGAGTAGACAAAACATGTTCTAAGCGCTCTAACTTGGTTTCCTGAGAAACTCCCAAAGGTGATTTGATGGGGTAAGCGGTTGGAACAGACAATTGTCAGGGACTTGTAAAGGGCCTGCGCCTGTCTGTCAAGTCTGCTTTAAGGCTGCAGCATTAATCTGGACAAATCCTGTTATGAATTGAGTCCAAAAACTTTATCATGACAGCTTTGCCTTGCCTAGCACTGTGGTCAGATTTACTAAAGCAAAGCAGCTTAGAATTACCTGCATAAACTCGATTATCTCATAAATTCAGATTATTCTTATGGGGCTTTGTTTGGTTTGTTGATTTTGCTTGGGTCTTTTCCCCCTCAGTGTTGTCTTTTGATGACCCTAAACATACTACATGTTAAAAGATATAAGAATTTGATAATGAATATTGAAAAGCATAAAGTGCTAGAGGATTTAAGTCCTTTAATGAGCTGCTCTGCATTTTTTTCCTCCTAGGGTGGGTACAATTGAATCATCTGCCTTGAAGTCCTTACGAGAGATGATTTATGCCCACAGGTCTGAACTCACTAGTGCTTTTGCACAGTATGATCTCAACAGCACAGGTAACACTACCTCTCTGTCCAGTTGCCACCATGGGAAAAACAGCTTCTATGTGTGTGGGGGCAGAGGGGACAAACCCCACAGAGAGGGGTCCTGCTTGTCAGTGTAAGGCTGGAGGGCAGCAGAGGCTGGTTGAGCTTATGTTCTTTCTGACCACAGAGCAGGATAGGTGCTTAACCCCAGAAAACAACTTGAGGCAGTGAAGCTCTAAGCAGGAAGAAGAAACAACTGAAACACATATGTGGATAATAAGGAAATATAATTGTGTTTGGGCAGCTAAATCCAGCTCCAGAGGCTCAAAGGTCACCACCTTCACTTAGGCATGTCTTCAGAAGCTGTCAGAGAGGGAACTGGGGTCTCAGGTGAGGAGAAACTGGTCCCGTGTCTGAGTTTGGGAGGTATCTGAGGAAAGTTCACTGGTTATGCCACTAGCAGACACACACTCACCCATCAGCTGAAGAAAACAGCAGTAAGTTGACAGATGACCCTTTTAGGTAGGAGCAAGGAGTTGATGATTTCTAGCACAAATACAGCTTTTCCTAATGATGGCTTCTCAGTGGACTGGGTTGCAATCTGTGCCCAGAAAAGGGCAATCAGTAATGTGAGGGTACTGTTTCTTTGGCCACTGAACAACCGCTTAACATATTTCTGTCTTGTTGGGTTTTCAGCCATATGTCTCTCTAGTTGCAGCTCAGCTCAGATCTGTAGGTTTTTATCCCTGGGTTAGAAGAAATGTTTGTTTTGCAACTGTTCTTAAAACTGGCAGAAGTCATGCTGGTGACTGATGTGTGCTGTGTCACATACCGCTTGTAACCATGAACTGACCCCTTCTGGCAGGCTGCATTTCTCTCAATGACTGGGCTGCTGCCATGGAGTCCGCCCTACAGCTGGAACTGCCCTGGAGGATGCTGCGGTCTCACTTAGCGCAGATGAACTCAGATGGAGAAGTTGACTACATGTCGTGTTTTTATGATTTGAAAATAGATCAACCTATAAAAGAGGTAAGGAGGAACACGCCTCCTTGCAAATCTTGGAGGAACAGCTTTTGGTGCAGCTTGAGGCACAAGACAGTGGTTTGGCCAATCAGGCAGACATCTCCAGCTGAACTAGTTGCCGAGCTTCCTTTTATAGTCACTGGAGGGAAATGAGCACTGCTAGGGTACGAATCATCATCCCCTGCTAAGGTAGATGCTTAAAATAGGTTGGATGAATCACATGCTAGAACTGCTCCTTACTTGCTGTTGACTCTCCAACGGTGTTTAAGTGATGTAGCTAAGGAGATGCGACAAAGCCTACTCAGAGCACTCAGCCCTTGCTCTTTGAGATGAGCTTTTCAAACGTGCTCCAGAGCCAATTCAGGCACCTGCAGGAGGGAGTCACACTTGTAGATGGACTTTTCATTTTTAATGGTAGCTGAGGTCTCTCCTACAGAGCCCAGTTGTTACTGAGTGGCTGCATAATACCTTGGTACTTGGCTGTGGCCATGATTTTTCTAAACAGCAGGAGCCATTCAGGTATGTACAGTGAAAGCTTTACACGAGAGCATCGCATACAGCATCTTCCCTAGATTATCCGTATTTCCACAAATAATTACTGAAGGTAGGCGGTGTGAAGGCCTCCCTCCATCCCCTCATGCCCTGGCATCTGAAAGTGACAGGTTTTAGCTGATTATGCCTCAGGGCAAGTCACAAAGTATCATTTCAGGAAAAACATTTGACAAGTTAAACTGGGAAAATAGATGTGGATAGTGCATATTCTGTTGGGTTAGACTAACTCAAACCAAGGTCTGAATGGTTTCCTATATGTGATTTCAAAACCAGGTTCAGCCAGCTTTGGTGGAAACACTGTGCAGATACAGAAAGGATCTGGAGATCATCTTTAACATCATTGACAAAGATCACTCAGGTAAGTCCAGGTAACTTCACTGTACCAGCTCTAGGAAGCCTATACTAGTTATCTTTCCCCACTGTGTTTCCTCCCTAAGGCTTCTAAATATAGAGGAACCAGAGGTGATGTCATTTCTTCAGTTTAGAGAAGAGATTAATTTAAGCAGTCAGGCTCTAACCATATAAGGGGCAGTGCACAGAGCCCAACTTGAGAAAAAAATATTCTCACATATCCCATCTCCAGTACTGGCTTCCCTCTTTTGGAGGCTTTCTCTCCCTTCCACTCTTGCTCTCAGTATGTACCACTTTCTCAGTTCTGCTGCTGAAAGCATGAGATCATTACCTTAAGTAAAACGTACTTCATCTGTGAAATCACAAAGCAGCCAAGCTGTGGCAGGCAGGTAATGTTCTTGCAGTGAAGGAGTGTGCATGAATGCAGGAAGGGGAAACAGCGATGGAAAATGCAACCCGCTGCCTGTCTCCCCTAGGTCTGATTTCTCTTGAGGAGTTCGGCCAGACGTGGAAACTCTTCACTTCTCACCTGGGCATCGACGTGTGTGATGAAGCCCTTGACAAGTTAGTCCTCAGCATAGACTACAACAAAGATGGCTACATCGACTTCAATGAATTTTTAGAGGCCTTTCATGTGGTTCACAGGCTAGAGAAAAAGGCATACTCATGAAAAGGCAGAAGTTCCTGTGGGCCGTCTCGGAAGCCCACCTTCCTGTCATTAGTCATAAACAGTCTGAGAAACCAATTTCCAGACTGACAAACAATAAATGGGCTGCTTGATATGGTAAGCACTGCAGTCACTGCGTAAGCCTTTGTTTAGTCCTTTCTGGACAATAGATACCTGCTAGTGTAGTTATCACTGTGTCACTGCCACATCAGTACCTTACAATTTATCCTCCCCCTTGGTGGCATCTCCCCCGTCAATCCAATCTGTGAACACTGCCAAGGTCGCACCCGCAAGCCTGGGGGAAGAGAAACTGTGGTGCGTTTCTTTCAGCAGTCCTGAGCAACAGCTGAGGAACAGCATTAATGAGCACTGGTGAACATATCCGACTCTCCCTGAGGACGTACCAGGCGCGACAGAGGCCTGCTGTGGCCTGTCCAACCCAGGAGAGGAAAACAGGAAAGAAGAACCTGGTTAAAACAGGCAGTTCTGCGTTGGAGCTCGCTCTTTGCATGGTGCAGTGAAACCAAACCATTCCAGGTCACTGTTCCCCTTGAAGTTTACAGACCCAACTGAAAGGACCTTAGCCAAAAGGCATTTACATTTGCACTAGATTTCCTCTTGCCACTTTTGCCTACACTTGTAGAGGCTTGGAGCTAAGAAACCGTCATAACTCGTCACCTTAATGAAGGCTAAATCGTAGCATGTTAACATAACATACAATAGATCACAAAATAAAGCTTTAGCTTTCACAGTAACATGTAAGTGTGGTGTCTTTCTGCGTGTATTTCGGTATCCTACATACAGCGGAGTACAACACACTTTTTGTGGAAATTAACTGGACTTCTTTAAAGCAAAGAGATGGGTGAGAACACAAAAGTAAACACATTTTGACACTATCCAACCTAAATATTCTTGCATATAGTTAAGCATAAATTCTTTACCAAGTAAACTAAACTGAGAAATTCTGAAACTGAGTTTTTGGAACACAGCAAGATGGAAGAATCCAGTGCCCTGGGCCGGCCCCCAGACTGCAAGCCAATATTCTCACTCCTGCAAGTGCCATCCATTGCGGGAAAGCAGGAAGATTTGGACCTAATTCTCCCACATGTTACACTCAAAGCAACATCCTGACAGAAGGTGAAGTGCAGCCAGATCAGGAGCTTTTTGAAAACAGTATCACCCAGTTCAGCCTTAGTAAATACAATGTGCACAAAGTGCTTTTGGGGCAGGAAAAGGGTCCAGCTTTGCCCATCTTTAAATTTTAATAGCAAAAGACAAGCTAAGTAAAGTAGCCAGGTTTCATGTAATAACAGTGTTGAAAGTATGAACAAAATGCATCCTTCCCAGTTTATCATCACAGAACGTAACAGCAGCCCAAGTTCACAGTACTGCGGTCTTTCTTACATCTTACTTTCCACAACTAAATACAAAATACCTTTCCAGAAGTTTCTGTAACTTGACAGATGACTGAACAAACATACACACACTTATTTCTATTGCCTGCAGGGGAGGGAACGAAAAATCTTTAATAGTACAAACAAAATTTACAGTAAAATTTTTAGTGGCACTGGTAATTGTGAATGTGTATTTTTAGCACGCATTTATTCACCTATGGACTGAGAGGATCGGTCCCACCTTATTCCAGTGGAGTGACAAAAAGGCTCCACCTCAGACAGACAAACACCACAGTGCGTGATGGGATCTCACTTCCCGTCATCGGTGTCCTGACTGGGGGCATGAAGCAACACGGTGGAATGGGACAGCGCAGCGCTGGAGTCCTCCTCTGCCACCAGCCCCCAGGAGAGAGGACAAAACTAGGGCACGCAGCAAGACGTGGGAGCTCAGAAACACGGCTGCCAGCTTCGATGTGCCCCTCTAATGACACTCCTGAAGTCGCCCTACCGTGAAGTTGAAGGATGCTCGCCTTGAGGGACCACTTCCTGAGAGGGGATGCAAAGGTCAGGACACAACGCCGTGCCTCACTCTGCAGGCAGCGAGAAGAGGCTTTCGGGGATGCAGTGCTGAAGTGTGAGAGGAGCTGAGTCATCAAGCCAAAAAAGAAGCAAGCCTGCCCTGCCAGCTGCTAGTGGCACAGGAAGGCCCCTTACCCTGAACAGAAGAAGGGGAGGTGGCAGGGGGGAGTAACTGTGAAACATCCAATGCCAGGAATAAAAGCCACTTGAGACTTAAAACTGGGAGTGAGAGAGCGCCCAGCTACTTGTACTTAAATCCAAACTGTTTGAGCTGAAGCTCTTCTTTCATAACCCCCATCCCCAATCTTTTTTTTAAATTTTATCACACAATCCTATGCAGTGGCTACTTAATATTACAGCTGTGAGCGGTCCTTGGAGCAGGGACTGGATCGGTCTGCAGCTGAGTGCCCAAACTCCTACCCTGCAGCTACAGTCTTTACATCATTTGTGGCACCTCTCCCACTTTCTGGGCAACTCTGCTCCAGCCTCCAGACCACACTGGAAGGTGTCCCAATGTTGGGCCTGGACTGACCCAGGTTCCCACTTCACTCAGGCCCCAGGCTGCAGCCAGAGGAGTGACACAATCCCACAGTGCCTGCAGGGGGTACAGTCCAGGTGTTTCACTGCCCACCACGGAAAGTGACTGCCCCTTTTTAGACCTGCTAGGGACCTTCACCCCCCAGGAACAAGCAGGGCTCTCAACCTGACGAGGGAGACCACAATTGGCAGAACAGAAGCCAGACAAACCTTGCACCCCATGTATTACGTTCTCAAATCTACTCACAGGAGCAGCAGCCAAGGGATTAATGCTGCTTTTGATCTGTCTAGTTTGACAAACTTGTGTCCTTCGCACAGCAGCGGGGAGAAGGAAACAGCTGTGAGGCAGCAAGCGGGGACAGGTGCTGGCCTGGGGCTGGCTTGAGGCCGGCGTGTGGTACATACTCCATGCTGGACACAGTTAATTATTCTGACCAGTGCCCCCAGCCAGTCCTGTTTGCACATGCAGGCATGCCTGGCTGCCCCCCAGAGCTGTGTAGGTGCTCCTGTCCCCACAGCAGCAAACTGCTTAGGGCAGCAGTGCCCACCAGACTGGAAAGACCAGGTCACAGCTGGGTCTGTTTTAATTCATCAGTGCCCTTGTTTCTGAAGCGCAGATGTGTCTGTTTACCTTTGCTGCCTTTCCATAAGTGAGTTTCCGCGGTCCACACAGCCCCACACAAACTGCAGAGTCATTGGGTGTTTTCACTGGGAGCACACCGTCACCACCGCCAGTGCTAGGCTCTGCTTTGCAACAGCTTAACACACACACACATGAGTCCTCAGCAAAGCAGGGGGTCTGTATGAAACCTTACTTGCTCAATTAGGTTTACACTAAAATGTGATTCTCCAATTGGAGTGGTTCTTTGGTCTGAGCAGTAACGCAGCAGCAAGTTGCAGCTGTGCCAGACCTGGAGGTAACACAAGTTTCCCTTCCATTGGTGGTGTGTTTTGGAATCCCACCCTTCACCACCACCTACCTAAACTCTTCAAATTACTGTATAAATACCTTCCAAGTGCCTGCACTCTGTGTGATAATTGATCATGATCATGATCAATATACCAAAATCTAGGTCACACTAGGAATTTCAAATTAAAGATACCAGTGATACTCCCATTAAGAAAAAAAAAGTTAAGGGGTGTCCAGGTGTGTTTGGCCATAGGCTTGATTGCTTTAGACTTCAACGCAGCTGCATGCAAAATGAACTACATCACCCTTCTTGTTTCTGAAAGCAAGATCACACTGTAGGTAACAAAAAAATAAAGAGCCTGAGGAAAAATCATCTTGCATCTCTCACAATCTAGGATTCAACAAGAAAAGCACAAATAACTGCTAGTCCTGACTTTCTGTATGATACTGGATAGAATGAGAGACCATCACACAGCTCTCGTGTGCTCACGCTCTGCACTGTCATATCTGTCTGCTTTAACTAGACAAAGGATTTTACTTTCATGTACTGGGAAACAAGCTAAGTGATCTCTCACAACACACGAGAAGAAAAAAACCCAACAAACCCATAATGAAGGCAGAACTCCAAAATACAGGTGCCTTGCCAATAAAATGACTTCCAAGTGCTAACTGTGCCTGAACCATACCTTTACACTTAGCCCTGCAACAGGCCCCCAGTTTTCACGGTGGCTAACATAGGATGTGCCTCTCAGAGCATCCAGTCCAAGGTCTCAAAGGCCCTGGGGCTGTCAAACTCTCCTGGTCCCTGCAAAAACACAAGATCACCTCCTGAGGCCTCCCACACCTTTGCTCTCTCGAGCCAGCGTCCAGACGCTGTTACAGCAGCAGCGACTCTGTCGGGGGACAGCAGGCAGGGTGGCATTGCTGTCAGAAGCTAACCTCTCCTGCACCACGGGTGCTGGCGACTGGCAAGTGAGACAGGGGTTTACTTCCCTCCTTCCATCAAGGTATTTCAGGTATCTGTGTAAAACTGGAACCAAAAAAACCTCAATCTCAAAAGCACCACGTACTACTGTTACAAAATCCAATCTGGTAAAAATGGCATGGTTATGTTTTGAAAGAGTGGAGGGGGTCTCACAGAAATAAGCTTATCAAACAGGAAACACTTTTTGAAGGCTATATCTACTCCTGTCCCTTCTCCCTGGCAAGACAGGGCCACTCTGATCCTCTCTGCTCACATGGCAGCAGTACCAGCAAACCTCTGAGCTGCTGAGGCTGCCTGT